TATATATGGCATAACATAAATAAATATTGCGCTCTAAATTGAATTTGACTGTACTTAGTATTCCAGGCTAAGTGCTGGGCCTGCTGTCTCTCAGTTATTTATGCTTATTTACTGCGATGTCCTTCAAAAGTATTTCGGCTAAAAATAAAAAGTGGTTTTTGGGTCAATTGAATTGATTTTAGACTTTGAAAAGACTGACATTGCGGACGGGTTTGGTTCAGTCAAGTGGCTCACTTGGTAGCACTTGATAGTTGTTCTATTAGAAATATAAAAGTAATACATATTTAGTATAACTACTGCTCGTTAGACTTTGACTTAAAGTTGGCGGTGCGAGCTGCCTAAAGACATCAAGTTAGCCAGCATGAAATCAAGGATTTATTATAGTTTAATGCGTCAGCAGTTGTTGCCTTGAATTCGTGAAAAGTTCACTTTCTATATTTCATTTTGAGTAACACAGACTCGTGCACATTGATCATTGATCGATGTTAGTTATCTAGTTACCCCGAAACTAAACTCTATACTCGCACGCTACACTCTCAACTAGTTATATACCTTTCTCAGAACTGGACTGACTACACTCCACACTCTAGGCTCAACTTGCTCCACTCGATCATTGTACTCGACTCGTCACTCTCTTTTTATTGCGCTTGACTCGATATACTCGCCTCACCACACTCGACTCGCTACTGTCGACTCATTACACTCTATTTTCTATACTCTTGTACAGTCGCCTCACTACACTCGAAACGGTACTCAGAATCGCTACTCTCTACTTTCAACACTCTTCTAAACTCTCCTCTCTACATTCTATGTTTTACACTCGACTCGACTACCCTCGAATCGCTAGACTGCACTTACTTCAATCCATCAGCTTTATATTAAGAACTTACTGTTTACACTCTCTACTTGATCCATTTGAATCGCAATTCCTTGCTCTTCTCCTTGGGTACCTACAGACATTACTCTCTTAGCGTTAAATTTAGATTATTTGCGACATTCTTTAAATCATTTTAGATTATATTGAAATGTCATGTTTTGTATTTATATCATATACCACCCACTCAGACCATTACATGTTAATCCTCTCCAGTTTTGCTTTTACTTGTTACTAATTATTTTTCTCAATAGTTACTCGCTACAATTGTGTATGTAGCACACCTATACACCCACACACCCACACCGCCCAACAATAGTTCGAGTGAGTTAATCGTTCAGCGCTCTTCGAGTACTTTAGCTACTTGTTCCACTTGAATCGGCACTCGTTGCACTCAAGCCGAGTCTAATGTGTCTCACTCTCAGACTCAGACTCAGACTCCGACTCAGCCTCAGACTCTGTATAAAAGCCGGCCTGCTTTTCTTCCTGCCTTTTGATGTCAAGTGTTGGAGCTGATGGAGGCCAGCGCATCAAAGAGCTACAGAAAGAGCTTAGCGTTGCCCCGCTTTGCTCGACTCCAGTTCAGTTCAGTACAGTTCAGTTCACTTCAACTTTAGTTTAGTTTGATTGGCTCAGCTCAAAGACCATTTGCGCGTTTGGCTCGTTTGGGTGGGGCTTTGTGTTGCATAAAATTCCATTGCATACTTGTGAGAGCGTGTGCGAGCATTTGCATTTGCATTTGCATTTGAAATTGGGGCCAGATCCATATTGAAAATTGGAACGAGAAGCGACTGCATATGGGAAATGGACTCGCTTTTGGCACAATGCCAAAAAGGTGTGTGTGCGTGTGTGTGTGTGTGTGTGTGGGCGTGGATCTGAAATGTGGGCAGTAAATTACCAAACATGACTCTGGGCTCTCTCAGTAAGTCAGTAAAGCTCATTAGAATTTATTGCGGACACGTCGGTCACACCCAGACCCAGACACAGGCACAGACACAGCCAGGGGACACGCACGTCTGTTGATGTGAGTCGAAATTATGAACTCGACTCGAAATTAAAATGAACGAGAGTGAGAGAAAGAGAGAGTGAGAGGGAGTGAGAGAAAGAGAGAGTGAGAGGGAGTGAGAGCGAGAGGGGGAGCATAGATAAAAACACTTAACCATTTTGTGTTGTTTCTCGTTTAGGTCACTGCGGTCATACGAGTCCCTGCGAGCAGCTCTGCTACGAGATCCACGATGGGATGTACGAGTGCGACTGCATCGAGGGCTACGAGCTGAACAAGAATGGCTACAGCTGTCAAGGTGCGTGCGAATTAGTATGAATTGAGATTCATTTGATTTGATTCGATTCGATTCGATTCGATTTGCTTTGATTTGCATTTGATTTGCATTTGCTTTTTGCAGTGATAAACACGACAAACAGCGGCCAGGATGGGCACGGTAAATCGGATGAGGATGTGCTCTACCAGAAGGGCGCATCCTTCAGTGCAAAGCTCGCCAATGCAGCGGCGGCGGCGGTGGCAACGGCCGGCGGGCAGGCGGATGGGAATGCGAATGCGGATGCGGATGCGGCTGAAGCGGATGCGAATAGCGAATATGATTACAACGATGAGAATTTAGATGGCATGCGGGAACAGAAAGTCAATTCAAACGATTATTACATATCAGCGGAGAGCATTAGCTTCAATGAGAATCAGGAGCTGGATGCGGCCGACTTTAAGGTGGCGACCACAGCGGGCACAGCCACCAAACTAACCAAATCGACTAAAGCTGCGCCAACAACCACGACGACAACAACAACGACAACAGCAGCAACAACTACAACAACAGCAGCAACAACACCAGCTGCAAGATCGACAATTGAGCGTGGCCAAATGGCAAACAAAGCCAATGGCCAGCGCAATGCCATGGATTATGGCTTGGCCGATGTGGATGGCGATGGCGATGGCGATGTCGATGAGTATTATAGCTATAAAGCGGACATGTCCATCTATGACGATGTCAATAATAATCAATTAAATTTAAGACGCAACAGCAACAGTAACAGCAATTCGCATACATATCAGCAGACTAGCAAAAGCAACAACAACAACTTGAACAACTTGAACAACAACAACTTGAACAACGACAACTTTAAGGTCGCAATGCATATCAACAATAATAAGAATGCTGCCAATAGCAACATATCACTTAAGACAACAACAACAACTAGTACTACTACTACAACAACAACAACAGCAGCTGCAATCAGCAGGTGAGCGAATTAGTTAAGCGGGTGTAAAGGACTGCATGATAGATAATTTTATACAGTTTACTGTTAGTTATGTATATTGAGAGTTTCCTACTTCATTATTGTTGGAATGGATTAACTTTAGAGCTATAGAATCTCTAGAGTCTATCAGTCTTAAATCTCAAAATGAACTCTTCATAGATGATAAGAGTTGGTTATGTGTATTTCGAGTTTGCTTGATCATTATTTTTGACATGGAACAACTTTACAGTTATCGAATCCTTAGAGTCCATTAGACTTTAATCAAAATGAACCACTTATAGATGATAGATGATAGTTATGTATATTGAGAGTTTATTGTTGAGATGGAAACTCTAGAGTCAATCAGTCTTTAATCTCAAAATGAACCCTTCATCTTCTATACTCCCATTTCATGGAACAAACAATCCCTCTTTAGCCATCGAGCGAGCTGAGAACTGCTCTAATCTACTTCAAGTGGAATTATAATGCATTGAGTAAAGGATGACGGTGCTCAAGAGCCTTTGCCATTGAGAATGCGTCGAGTGTGCAATGATACTTGATAGATATTTAATTGTCACTGCTGTCGAATAACGGCATCGATTGTCATTCGAATTCAATTTCACTTAATAATTGTGGCGTGAAATTCTGTGATAATTGAACTTAACGCTTGTTGACTTACTCAAGGAAGTTTTTTTCATTACTTTTTGCAATGAATGCATGTGTTAAATTGACTTATGTTTATTGAAATGAAAGAGAAAGAGGAAGAGTTGCATATTGATTACCTTTTGAAGAACATGAATATTCTTTATTAAGTGCTGACTTTATATTTGATATTTATTAATATGAATATTATGAGCCTGTACATATAAGATATATATTAT